CCTGATACCAAAAAAAAAAAAAAAAAAGATATGCTATTAAAAGATGTTAGGTCCAAAATAATGGCCTCTTGTAAATTTTACTTTTTATTCCGTGTAATAAGATGGTCTCCTGAAGTCATGCTATTGATGTGGGAGTAATGTTTCTTTTCTGCAAAGAATGCATCATGTTATCAACCTGTTGATCAGTGCAATGGAAGTGTTTATTTTTACATATGGAGCTATGGGCTGGGATAGTAGGGTGAAAAATGAAGGGATGATTTATTCCTCTAGACAGATAGTAAATAAGTATTGACTAGTCCATAAGAGAGTAGGAGGCTCAGATCCTCGAGGCTATGAACAGTAAATAAAAGAAGGAAACGCAGAGCAATAGAAGTGTTTCCTCAGATTTTATCAGGTACTAGGAATATTTCACATAGCTGACACTTCTTTTACTGTGGTGTCCCCCCCACCTTGAGTCAGACTCTGGTTCAGGGTGACCTTGAACTCAGATGAATCCCCCAGCCTCAGCCTCTCTGGTATTAGGATTACAGACATGCACTACCCCACCTAGCTACTGTGCGCTTTGTCGTATATGATTTCCCTTTCATTCACTGAGGTAACATCTGAGCCATAACAGTTCTTAACTCAAAATTATTAGCCCATGTGATACATAGTATTTCTGACCCACTTATCCTTCTTCAGAGTACAAGCCACAAGTTAACTATTCACATCATTTGCTAATGCTTTCTGCTCTGGTGTGTTACAGGAGCCATAGGATAGGAATTACTTTGCTTTGTTCATGTTCTTAGCTAAATTATTAGTTGTTATTTTTATTTCAGCTTTTTAATGAGATTTTATCTGATCACTCAATTAAATGAAGTCAGTGAATTTTAAGGGTACTTGTGTGTTGAAAATGAAAGTGGAAGAACTGAAACTAGTTATGGTTAAGATTTTGTACTTAATTCTAATATTTAACTTTAATTTCTAGGTGTTACTAAGACTCAACATTTGATTATATATATTATACAATATATATGTTATATATAATGTATATATGTTATATATATTATATATATATATTAAAAGCTGTGAGATTATATATTAAATCCACAACTTTTATTTTCCTTTTACTAGAAACTAGCTGCAGATCCCACAAATCCAGACTTGTATCATGTATTAAGTGTGCTTTGGCAAGTATCTTGCAAGATTAAGCTTCTCTACAAGGTGAGTAAAATCCTTCTGCATTTCAAGAAAAAATTGTATTATATTTCAGAGAGGTTAGTAAGCAGAGATTACATATTAAAGATTAAAAGATTATTTTTTCCAACTGTTCAAGGTAATAGGGCAGGTTAACTTTGTGATACTGAGTATTTTTGTGGTACATACTTGTTTCTTTTATCATAAAAATAAGATATGTTAATTGAAATTAGGAAAACTTGGGGTGAATGTGTTAAGACAAGGTCTCGAAGTGCAGTTCAGGTTGGTCTTAAACTTGCAGCACTCCTCCTGCCTTGGCTCCTTGGGTGCTGAGATTACAGGCATGCACTACCACACCTGGACAGGAAATATATTTTTTAAAAAAGAGAAAGGCTGAGGTAGGATTGTAAATTCAAGCCCAGCCTGAGCAACGTAGCAACTTAGTGAGACCCTGTCTCAAATTAAAAATAAAAGAGCTGGGGGTGTAGCTCATTATGAAAGTCATGAGTTCAGTCCCCTGTATTGTCTCCCCCTCAACAAAAAGGAAGACATAAAAGTTAATTTTTTTAAGTTATCACTACAATTCTGTAACCCAGAAGTCATAAATGACATATGTAGCATATATTTAGTGCTGTTCTTTTTCTTTGTGTAGTGAAGATTATATTGTTTTGTATCTCATTATTTTCACTTGATAATAGTTATAAGCTTTTGCTCTTGTCACTAAACACTTTTTGAAAGTTTGGAGGTGTTTGTTTTTGAACTGGGGATTGAATTTTGGCACTAAGTTACATGCATCCTTGGTCCCCCTTTTCTTTAGATACAGGTTCTCATTTAATCACTGAGTTTCCCACACTGGGCTAGAAATTGTGATCCTCCTTCCTTGGCCTCCCAAAGTGCTGAAATTACAGGCATGTGTCACTACACTTAGCTTTTTCTTAAGTTTTTAAGGGCTACTTAATAGTTCATTATAGCTTTCCTCTTTTTAGTTAATTTCCTATGGAAGACAAGCATTGTCTGATAGAAATGTTATGTGAAGCACATAGGTATCTCTATGTTTTTTAATAGCCACATTATAAAAACTAAACAGATGAAATTCATGTTTTGCTCACTTCCCTTGTCAATTAAAAATTGTCAGGCTGGGGATTTAGCTCAGCAGCTCGGTGGCCTGTCTTGCAAGTGCAAGGACCCGAGTTTAATCCCCGCTACCAAAAAAAAAAAAAATTGTCAAGGCCAGCCTCAGCTACATAGTTCACTCATACTATAACAACAAAGACAATACATACTCTGATTAAAAATAAGAGAATGGGATAATTATGGCATGAAAGACTTTAATACTCATCTTTTTTAATGCCATAAAACACAATACTTGAAGCCAGAGGTGGCTATGGAATATGGGAAATCGGTATAGAATTGAGATATGCTACAATTGTATAAAATATACTGGATTTCAAAGATTTAACATGAACACAAAAATGTGAATTATGTAACAACTAATTTTTTTATTATTTTTTCAGTACTGGGAATCAAACTCAGGACATTGAGCTTGCCAGGCTGGCACAATGACTTGTAACAACTAATTTTAAAATACTGATCATACAATGAAACAATTCCTTGATTGATTGGTTTTGAGACAAGGTCTCACTATGCAGTACAGGCTCTCCTTGAACTCACTATGTAGCCATGCTGACCTTTAACCTTGGGCAGTTCTCCTGCCTCAACCTCCCAAGTGGTGGGATTACAGGTATGCGCCACCACGCCTGGCTCACGTAGTTTTTAAGGGCATAGACAGTCAGCCATCTGTGTCCATTCACTATCCACAGATTGAACCAATTTTGGATGGAAAATATTCATAAGAAATAATTGTGACTGTATTGAACAGATATTTTTCTTGTTATTTCCTAAACAGTACATGATAACAACTACTTACGTGGCATTCCTATTATGTGTTATAAGTAATCTAGAGATGAGTTAAAGTGTAGGGGGTAGGTAAGCAGATATGCAAATACTGTGCCATTTGGGAGTGGAGGAGCCTCAGGTTTTGATACTGGAAGGAGTCCCAGAATCTGTCCCCTGCAGACACGAGGAATGATTCTCGTCGTGTGTTTTATAGGCCTTGGATTTGCTAAGGCTGGTTTTGGATTATATTTATCTTCATGTAGTGTCTTCCCTGCTTTTGTCTGGGAACATATTGAATCCTTCTGTCTGCATATTAGTGTTAAGAATGTTACCTTAATTGAGCTTTGTTCCAACTCTCTCCAGAAAGTACTGAGGTCCTTAGGTTGGATGTCTGATCCTTGACTTTTGTGTCTAACCTGTTCCTTCTCATTTTTTCATTCCAATTATTCCAGCAATCTTTTTATATTTAGTGTTTGCATCACTGATCCTGCTTTCTACCTCTACTGTATATTGTGATCTTCATACTGTAATATTTGGTTTTCTTAAAATCCCTTCCTTGCTCCATTGAGCTCATTTTATCCTGTTGACTTTTCATCTCAGCCTCTTCTATTCTCAGAGCTTTCAGCTGGTTTCTTCTTAGAGGCCTCCTGAGGCCTTTCATTTACAGGATAATATTTTCAGCCAGGGCTGGTGGTACCTGCCTGTAATTCCAGAGCCCTGGGAGGCCCAGGCAGGAGGATTGCGAGTTTGAGTCCAGCCTGGGCAAAGTAGCAGCTTAGTGAGACCCTGTCTCAAAGTGAAAGTTTTGAAATGTCTGGGGATCTAGCTCAGTGTGGAGGACCACAATTTAATTCCCAATACCACAGAAAATGAAAATAAATAACAATTCTAGTATTTCCTTCTTGTTCCTTAGTATTTGGGTTTGGTGGCTTTTTTGTGTTTTTGGTACTGGGGATACAATTCTGGACCTTGCACTTTTAAGGCGGCACACTGAGCCAAATCCCCAGCCCTTTAGTATTTGTCTTCAAAGGACCTGTTTTCTCATTTATTAACCTGCAAAAAGGAGGTCTTTCTGGAGCCAACATTTGTTAGCACTTCTTCCCTTGGAAATCTTCAACTGTCAAGTAACTGTTGAACTAAATTCCCAGGGTCTTGCAGATTTTCTGTGCTGTAGCTTTAGTCATCAAAAGTGAGTATCCTCTGCTGTCGCTGCCATGCCCTGATCCAGGTTGTGGGAAACTGGAGGGCCCTTGTACACTCTTGCCATTTCTTTGCCTCCCTCTACTTAAAATGACATTCCTGAAACTGCCTGGAATTCCTTAGGCGGGCAAGTGTTAGATATGAAAAAGAATGGTTTTTTGAAGACTGACAGGTCTTTATTTGTCTCTTATATGCCCTTACATATTCAAATCAATTTGATTAGTAGGCTTTTGCTCTAACGTAGGGCAAAAAAAAATTCTCAGTACTGATCTAATTGTCCTTAAAGTAGCATGATTTCCATGACTCTAGTATGGAAATCAGAGAGATATATCATGCAGCTATCCGGTGTTTTTCTTAAATCCAGTTAGAGAGTGACCTGGATTTTAATTATCCTCTTGTTCAGCTTGTTCCCCCACCTGGGGAATGAATACTAGATCTCACATATGCTAGAGAGGTGCTCCATCACTGACTACACCACCAGCCCTTTCAACTTTGTTTATTTATTTATTTATGGGGGGGCACTGGGGATCATACTTGGGACCCTGCCTTACAAGGCCTTCAGTGGAACCACTGAGCTAAATCCCTGGCCCTTGACTTTATTTTGAGACACGGTCTTGCTGAGTTGCCCAGGCTATCCTTGAATTTGAAATCCTCCTGCCTCAGCCTCTGAGCTGGGATTCCAGGCATGCCCCACTCCACCCTGGCTAAACGTGATATTTTTAGGTCAGTCATGATGTGGGTGCTTTGACCAGGGAGAACTAAAAGAAATGTTTTGTGTTTTGCTTTCAAGGCATGTGTTCCAACATGTGACTTGTACAAGAAAGGAGTACCATCTTTTAAGGTAAAAGCACATTGATGCTTTTCCCTTTTTCTCCTTTAATACAATATTCTTTATTTTCTCAGAGATTATCTGGTATTCTATATTTAAGAAAATAAAAACTTTAGAATAACTACTGTGTCCTTTAAACAGAGTTCACTATTTTTAATAAACTGAAATTATTTTGGTTTAATATTTAGATCTTTGATCCATTTCGATTTTAGTTTAGTGCATGTTGAAAGAAATGGGTCTAGTTTTAATCTTCGGCAAGTGAAAAGCTAGTTTTTCCAGCACCAAACTGAAATTATTTTGAAACAGTTACATTTATTAGCTATTCTGTAGTAAGATGCTACCTCAGTAATAGGCTTAAATTGGACTCTGACTTTTTCTGTTTGTTTTTTTGTTTTTTTGTTTTTTGTTTTTTGCTTTTGTCTTACTGCACAGTTCAGGCTGGCCTTGACTCACTGTAACCCAGGTTGGCCTTGAACTCGCATCAATCCTGCCTCAGCCTCTTGAGTGCTATTTATTTATCTCTTTTAAAATAAAAATATGCTTCCTTTTAAAGTGTATTGTGGGAATATGCTGAAGCATAAAAATGAAGCTTATATCTAAAATGCATTTCTGAGATTGGAATAAATGTTCATCTAACTTGATAAGCTGAAAACCAAATTCTGCACTCTTAATCAAATTTGTGGTATTAGTAATTTCTTATGTGATTGAAATCACTAATAGGTATATACTGGTTCTTACCCACGAAATGAGTCTTTAGTTTTTATTTTATTTTTTTCCTGTTTAAAGAATTAATGTGATGATATAAGACGTCCTCTATTTAGAGATAAACTACTTATGAAATTCTAATATATTAACTAAAATTTTAAAAGTCTTTTTTTTTAATTATTCAAAAAATCTTGCTCTGTAGCTCAGGCTGGCCTTGAACTTATTGTATAGTCCAGGCTGGTCTCAAACTCATGGCAGTCCTGCCTCAGCCTCTTGAGTTCTGGGATTACAGGAATCCTCCACCACACCTGGCTCAAAACAATTTTTGGACCCAGTTCAAAAGTCCTGCTTGAAGGGCCAGGGATTTAGCTCAGCGGTTCCGTGGCCTGCCTTGCAAGCACAAGGACCCGAGTTCAATCTCCGGTACCAAAAAAAAAAAAGTCCTGCTTGATACTAATGACTTTATACTTGCATATCAGCTCGGTCTGAAGATCTCATTTGCTTTACCACTATAAGAAAAAGGAAATAAGGAGTTTAGAAATTATCTGATTTTAAAATGATCAATTATCATGGTGATTTTAGGTTTTTTGGGTTTTTTTTTTTTTCACACTATTTCTAGCACATAATTTATATATAGTCTCAAGCACTTTGGCTTGGATACCGTTGGGGTTTTATCCAAAAAATGAACAAACATATATAATACAGTTTTTTCTTTTTAATAATACCAAAAACTTTGTTTCTTTAGGCCAATTTAATATATAAACTTTGACTGGGGATTTAGCTCAGTGGTTCCGTCGCCTGCCTTGCAGGCACAAGGACCCAAGTTTGATCCTTGGTACCAAAAACAAAAACTACAACAACAACAAAAAACAATTAGATACAACCTAAAGAGCATCAGTCCCTCTAGGTTGCTCCCTCCAAACAGCTTTGAGATGGCCCAGGTAAAGCAGAGTGAGAGCTTGCATTCCTGATACACCCAACAAGAAAATGCATTCAGGAACCGTGGTGATTGCATCTTTGCAGAAGCAGTGAAGGAATAAGTTAAGCTGTTTTAAATAAGTTTTGCTCTGGTAATATTTTATGACTAACAGTATTTTCCGTTTTCTCCAGCATTCATCAAAATATCAAAACCTGTGTTTCGTTCAGATCATTCCACGTAAAAATTTATTCACCAAATACTTAACTCCTATTAACTACGATATATTTTTTCACATGGTAAAGCAATGTTTTGGGAGACGCAGTGCCTTTCTGACACATCATTTACAGTAAGTAAAGAATAAAAGCCAATATAAAAGTAGCGATTTTATGTGCCAATCTTTTATTAGTCTACTTATTTTGACTAAGTTGTGATGTACCCCTGTTACACTTATATATTTCTTCTCCTTGGTATACATTTTGAGAAAAATATATTTTGTATATTCTCTCACTGAGTTTCTTTTACTTTCTTTTTTTGGTTTTTTGAGACAGGGTCTCACTGTGTAGTTCAAACTGCTCTGGAACTCACTATGTAGGCTGATCTTGAACTTGCAGCGATCCTCCTGCCTCAGCCTCCCGATTTCTGGGATTACAGGCATGTGCCACCACACCCAGCTCTTTTACTTGCTCTGTGTGTGTGTGTGTGTGTGTGTGTGTGTGTGTGTGTGTGTGTGTAATCGAACTAGGGACCTTGTATTTGTGAGGCAGGTGGTGGAACCACTGAGCTAAATTCCCCAGCCCCTATTTACTTTCCTTCTTTGAAAAGGCAACCAGGAATTCCCATGAGTTGTTCTATCTTCATTGGAGGTTAAGCTATAGGATCAAGTACCTGCTCACCACTAGTTGCTTTGGAGAACAGTCAGGATTACTGTGGCATATTTGCCATCTATTTTTTGTTATTGTATGTATTCCATGGTTCTGTTTTCTAGCCAAAGTAGAGTGGTTCATCATACCACCATGGTTTTCTTGCCCTGGACGAATTTTTATGTTTCCATCTAAAACTTACAAAAATTATAGCTATGCCTGTCATGGTGGTACAGGCCTGTAATTCCGAGATAGGCAGGAGGATTGCCACAGGTTCAGGGAGAGCCTGGGCTACATCCTGCATTCAAGGCCAGTCAAAACTATTTAATAAAAACAAAGAATTATAGCTGTTAGTAGCTACATTATATAATTTTTACATAGGGCTGATACATAAAGTTGTGCACAATCAACAACCTATAATTATTCAAAGTAATTAATTTGATCATCATTTAATATATAAGTGAATGAGATGTTGACTGGGCAATATTTTTATAAAAATCAATTTTAAAATTGGCAATAGACCAATAAACATAACCTATTTTTCATTTTGCCACTTTGTGGTGGTGGCCATTTTGAATGTAGATGTCATAGGAGAATAAGGAATAAGTATGATAAACTCCGTGGTACAGAAATTCCCTTGGAAATCTTTAATATGGCCAAGAATCTAGTCTATATCTAAAAATGTTGCAAATATTTTCTCACAAACTGTTGCATTACAGGTGTTTGCTATTGTCAGTGGTTTATTGATGCTGTTTTGCTAATATATGAAAATTTTTGTGCCAGGGATTTAGCTCAGCAGTTCGGTGGCCTGCCTTGCAAGCTCAAGGACCCAAGTTCAATCCCCGGTACCAAAAAAAAAAAAATTTGTTTTTTATTTAACCACCAGTGATTGCAACATAAATGTGAAAAATTGTTTCTTCCTTTAAAACTCCCAAACAAGCTGGATGCTGTGGCACATACCTGTAATCCCAGCTACTCAGAAGGCAGACAAAGGACAGTTGCAAGCTGAAGGCCAGCATGGGCAATTTAGCAAGACCTTGTCTCAAAAATAGAGGGCTGGAGATGTGGTTCTGGGGTAGTAGACTGGCCCAGTCTACCTAACCCCTAAGTTCAGTGCTCAATACCAGAAAAATAGGCCAAATAGCCAGCTGTTGGTACTTATTAAACTTTTGCATGAACCTTGGTGGAGTTAATATTTTTGTAGGGCTAAGGGTGTGGCTCAGCATTCGAGAAGCCCTGGTTTCAGTACCACACCGTGCCCACACATAAATTAAAGACCAAGACAAAGAAAAGAGTTGGCAGATACAGGGTTTTTTTGGCAGTGCTGGGGAATAGACCTTTGGCCTTCTCTATACTGTGTAACTGTTCTGCAGTTACAGCCTCAGCCATGAAGGCTGAGGCAAGAGGATTGTCACGTATTTGAGGCAAGCTTAAACTACAAAGCAAGACCTTGTCTCCAAATATATAAACTAATGAATTTTGTGTAAGAATTGATAAGAATATGTTAAAGTCTAAATTTGTTACTTTCATTAGAAGTTAGCTGTGGACCTAAGGAATAAAAATAAACTTAAATTTAATATATTTAAGCTCTGAAATAAGCTTAATTGTATATGAGTCATTTTAAATTGGACTTAGAAGCTATCCTTTTCAACATTGTTACTATGAAAAAGCATTAAGCACATTTATTTTGTATTTCTTTTGCAGTTCATTGACTCCGTATGATCCAGTGGCTATATTGAATGAAGCAGGAATTAATACTAACTTTAAATCATGTGAAGTCTACCCTCAGGACTATAAACACCTTTTTGAGACTATAGAATGTTCCAGTGACAATGACAATAAATGGCTATATGACAGAGTCCTAGAAAATATAGAGTGTTAAGCAGCAGACTGTCAAGACATTAGCTGAACAGTTTATTTGGAAAACGTGACACATGAAAAAACTGCATTGAAAAGTGGACATCTTTTCAATAGAAGATAACTTCTTATTGACACATTGGCTAAAACTGCTATTTTATTCACAACTGAATAAAAGGAAAACTGTTTATTGTGGATTAATCAGATTTAATTGGTTTTGTTTTAAATTCCTATCTACCATAGTGCTGGGGGTATAGTTTGGTTGTAAAATGTGTGCTTAGTATGTATTCACAAGGCTGTGAAATCACAGGGCACTAAAACTTTTAAAAAATGCTATATCTACTGTAAACATAACAGGAATAAACCAATTGAAATTTGGTTTACTTTTAAATATTCTTTTGGCCAAATGTCTTACATTGTATTTAATTTAAATGTTCCCCTATTACCCTTACTCAAATTTGCATTCCTCCTGGGGGGTGGGGGTGGGACAGAAGAGTTTATATTGTGTTAAATTTAAAAAGAAAATTAGGGTCAAGGATTTAGCTCAATGGTGCCATCACCTGCCTCGCAAGTGCAAGTTCCTGAGTTTGATCCCTGGTACCAAAAAAGGTAAACTGATTTGAGTCATTTATTTTACCTTTCTGTTTGCTGACGCTATTACCAGTTATTGTACAATGAAATTATTTAAATTTTAATAGCTTTAGAAATTAAAGTATTTTAGTTAATATTTTGTGATGGCTTTCTTTTATCTCTTGATATTTAAATGAAATGCTTAATTGACACCACCTTAACTTTTGTTGTGTATTGTCTCCTGCATATTTGTTCCATCAAGAAAGTTCAGTTTAAGTGGCTTGGTGTGGTAGCGCAGGTGAACTTGTGCCCACACAGACACATACACCTGTAATCCCAATACCTGGCAGAAATATTTTAATTCCATTTAGATTCATGCTATGATCTAACTTCCAACTGAATTTTTTAGGGGTGGGAGTCGGGGTTTGAGACAAGGTCTCTTTATTTCAGGCTAAACTTGAACTCACTATGTAGCCTGAGCTGGCCTTGAACTCCAAAATCCCCTTGCCTTTACCTCACAAATGCTGGGATTATAGGTTTGTACGACCTTGCCCAGTTTATCTTCCTAATCTTTTTTGTGGTACCAGGGATCAAACTCAGGACCTTGCATTTGTGAGGCAGGCAAGGTACCACTGAACTAAATCCCACCCCCTTCTTAATCTTTCTAAAGTCTTCGCTTCTGAGTTTCTTCCCCAACCTTGTGTCTTATGCCTGGATTTCTCCTCAAGCATCTTCACTACCTCTTCATCTAATCCATTTTATCACTGCTGTATTAGACTTTCTGAAGCATATTTCACCATAGACTCAAAAGGAATGCCAAAGTTCAGGAAGCCTTGGTTTTCACATGGGTAATAGACTCTAGGTTGTGGTACTTGTCGGAAGGAGTAAATGAAAGATTTGGGAGAAAAATAGCAAAGCAGGAGATACAAATGTTGGATAGTGTTTTCTTACCCTTTCCATACTTGTAGCAAGAGGCTGCCTTCAACAAACTAGAATTTAAATTTTTCACAAATTTGGAAACTGGTGGTATGTCAGTGATAAGGCCCTGAGTTTGATCACTAACACTGCAAAATAATGAGACCTCAAAAAACAAAAACTGGAAGTGGTAAGTGCTTACCTAGTAATTACAAGGCCCTGGGTTCACTCCCTAGTGTCTTTTAAAAAATTTTCAATTTCTACTCACTAGAAGATATAAATAATGAAGCATATTGTGTAAACAAATATTTGTGGTCACAACAAACTGCCCCAAGAAAGCTTAACTTTTTTGTTCCATGTTAATCCTTTGAGAAATCCAGAATATCCAAAACTTTGCAGTCTGTAAACAGGCATGACGTCAGGTCAGGTCAGCTTCAGAGAAGCTGGGGAAGCAGAATTCTGATACTATGTGGGGCTTCCTTGAGAAGGGAAAAGGGGAACACAAGGTGGGAGATAGATTCCTATCAGCTTAATTTATTAAGGCTTGGACAAATGTTGCTATAGTTTGGATTTTTTTTTTTTTTTTTTTTTTTTTTTTTTTTTTTTTTGTACCAGGAATTGAACTCAGGGCTTTGTGCTTGCCAGGCAGGTATAGCACTGCTGAGCTACATCCCTGGCCCCTGAGCTACATCCCTAGCCCTACAGTTTGGATCTTGAATGTCTCCCAAAGGGCCATGTGTTGAAATTTGTTCCCTAACCTGTGACACTTGGGAGGTGGTAGAAGGAACTCAGGAAGCAGGCATTAGTAGAAGGAACCTAAGTCACTGGGTGTGTGCTGTTGGAGCCAATGGATATTGAGACCACAGCCACTTTGTTTTGCTTCCTACCTGCTATGAACAGGATTTCCTTCTACACTCACTACAACTTTTGACATACTGCCTTGCCACAGGCCCCAAAGCAAAAAGCCAACTAACTATGGACTGAAACCTCTGAAACTAACAGGCAAACCTTTTCATCATTTAAGGTGATTTAGCTTGGGTACTTAGAGTAACAGAAAATAACATAAGTATGCTATATATGAGTGGGCTCAAAGTGAAGAGAGCATTTTACTATGTAATATTTTATCATTTGTCTTCACATTACCAAATTGTAGAATTGCATGTAACATGTTACTTGTATGGCTTTACTCTGTACAAAACAGAAAAGAATTTTATTATGTGGTCTCCTTGAAATTCTATAATTATCCAGCAATTATTTAAAATGTGTTTCCTTAAAGAATTTGAAAAGTAGTGGCATAAGTCTTCTCTAAATTTCTTTAGAACTCAGCAATGAAACCGTCAGGGCCTGGGCTTTTCTTTATTGGTTTTTAATTACATCTTCAATTTCATTAACTGATACTGGTTTATTCAGAACTTTTAGATCTTTTTGGTTCAGCTTTGGTAATTCATATGTATCCATGAACCTGTCCATTTCTTCTCCGTTTTCCATCTTATTAGAATACAGTTTATCTAAGTGGGTATTGATGACCTGGATTTCTGCAGAATCTGTTGTGATTTCGCCCTTTAACTTCCTAGTTCCATGGATTTGAATCTTCCTTCTTTTGATGAGATTGGCCAAGGGTTTGTTGATTTTAATCTTTTGTTTGTTTGTTTTAGTTTTGGAGTTCTTTTGGTATCAGGGATTAAATTTGGGACCTTGTGCTTACAAGGCAGACAACAGAACCACTGAGCTAAATCCCTGACCCAATCTTTCTTAATCTTTTAAAGAACCAATCCTTTGATTCATTGATTCTTCATGTTGTTTCCTTAGTCTCCATTGCATTGATTTCTGCTCTGATCTTCCCCCCCCCATTGAGTTTATTGGTACATTTTAGGAAAACAGTACAGTTACATTCATTATTGGGATCTTGTACCTTTACATGACAGGTCTTGGTTCTGCTCTGATCTTTATAATCCCCTGCCTTGTACAGGCTTGGGGTTTGGCTTGCTCTTCCTTTTCTAGAGGTTGAAGTTCACCATTAGGTTTATTTGAACTCTGTTTTTCAGATATGGCTATTTACCACTATAAATTTCCCTCATGGGGGCTTTCATTGCATCCCATAACTCTCAAGTCTATTATATTGGCATTATCATTTAATTGTAGAAACTAATTTCTTTAATTTCATCTGTGACCCATTGGTTGTTCAGGAGGGTCTTATTTAATTTCCATGTGTTTATGAGGTTCTTGTGGTTTCTTTTGCCATTAATTTCATTGCACTGTGGTCTGATAATATGCACGGGATAATTTTAATTCCTTTGTATTAAGTATGTCCTATGTGCTGATATGTGGTTTATTTTGGAGAACATCCTGTGTGCAGCTGAGAAGAATGTGTATTCTGATGTTGTATGGTGGAACACTTTATAGACATCTACTAAGTCCAGTTGTTCACAAGTTTGGTTGAGTTCTAATATTTCATTGTTGATATTTTTGTCTAATTGATCTATTTGTGGCAATGGGGTATTGAAATCCCCCATTACAATTGTATTAGGGTTTATTTGATTTTTTGTGTCTATTATTTGTTTTACATAATTGGGTGTACTCGTATTTGGTGCATATATATTTATAGTTGTTATCTCTTCCTCTTGAATTGTTTCCTTTATAAGAATGTAGTGACCTTCTTTGTCTTTCTTAATCACTCTTGGCTTGAAATCTACTTCGTCTGCAAATAGAATAGCTACCTGTTCTTTTTTCCAGGTTCCTGTTTCATGGAGTATTGTTTTCCATCCTTTGACTTTCAGTCTATGACCTTCTTTTTGAATTAAATGTGTTTCTTGTATATAGCATATCATTGGATCTTGCTCCTTAATCTGCTGGTCTGTTTCTTTTCTTTTTTCCTTTTTTTTTTTTTTTTGTACTGGGACTTGAACTCAGGACCTTTTGCTTGTCAGACAGGTGTGGCACTATTGAGCTACATCCCTGGCCCTCATCTGTTTCTTTTGATTGATAATTTGAGACCATTTACATTGATATGTAAACTGATATGTATTGACTTATCCTTGTCATGTTATTTTCTTGTGATTTTTTTCCTTTCCTCCCCTCCGTTTAATTGCCTTCTTGCCTGGTAGATTCATTCTGTTGGAGGTTATGGAGCTGTAGTCCTTGTTTTCTCTCTCTAAAATGTCCTTTAGAACATTTTGCAGTGCTGGTTTTGTGGTCATGCATTTCTTCCTTTGTCATGAAAGTATCTTATTTCTCCATGAGTTTTGAAAGATAGTTTTGTGGGGTATATCAATCTTAGGACTTGAAATACTCCACTCCTAGCTCTCCTTGACTTGAGGGTTTGAGTTGATAAGTCTTCTATGATTTTGATGGACTTTCTTTGTAGGGGATTTGTTTCTTTTCTCTTATAGTTTTTTGGTTCTTTTTTTTTTTTTTTTTTTTTTTTTTTTTGGTACCAGGGATTGAACTCACTCAGGTCCTTGTGCTTGCAAGGTGGGAGGCGGAACCACTGAGCTAAATCCCTGGCCCTCTCATAGCTTTTAATATTCTGTTCTTGTGCTAAATTTCTGGAATCTTGACTATTATATGCCTTGGTGTAGATTTTTTACATCTAATTAGTGTTCTATATGCCTTGCTTATCTGTACGTCAAATTCTTTTCCCCTGCTTGGGAAGTTTTCTGCCATTACTTCTGTAAACGGATTTTTATGTCATTTGTGCTTTCTCCTGCTTTTTCATTGACTGATCAATCTTATGTTATTCTTCTTTGCATCATCTTAGCAGCTGCTGGATTGACTTTTCATGGTCCCTTGATATTTTAAAGAAATCTTTATTTTCATGATAGCAAACCACAATCCTGTCTTCCGTATCTGATATTCTGTCCTCACATTGGTTCATTCTGCTGCATCTACTTTCAGTGGAATTTCTTTTCTTTCTTTCTTTCTTTCTTTCTTTTTTTTTTTTTGGTGTGGGGGATTGAACTTGGGACCTTGTGCTTGCAAGACAGGTAGCAGAACCACTAAATCTGTGGCCCTCAATGGAATTTTTAATCTGGATTTCAGTTTAAATGTTT